GATATTATTAACTTAACAGAAATTGTTATCAGATTATTATTATATTTTAAACATATTTAGCAAAAACATAGGTTTCTATAAAGTATATATTTGAGTGGTAAGTCTGATGGGCTAACGTTCTAACAACTGATATAGTATTATTAGAGATCAATATTATTGAAGAAAATACGAATACAATGTAGTGTGTGGTTTTAGAGTTATAATAAAGCACCCTAGCGTGTCGTGCAAAAATAGGTATTGAATCAATTGCAACATTAAAATTATGAAAGTATGCAAAATTTGACTATAGATTAAATTCAAAAAAAAAAATTTGTTTGCGCAATGAATATTAAGTTTAAAAAAAACTACAATAATAAACTTTTTTCGATATATGTGTGATGAGTGAATAATTTTGCATGCGAGTAATAGTTATTTTGTTTTTTTTTAAAAAAAATGTTTATGTAAAAAATTTTAAAGCTCATTCACATAATAAATTTTTTAATTACATCTGTCGTTTGTGTAATGAATATTTTGAAAACAACACGTAATTTTATTTTGTAAAATGTTCTCTTATAAAAATTTACAATTATAGTCCGTCAATAGTTGAGAACTCGACTACTAACATTATTATGCTCTAATGCATTGAAGTTAAATTAATGATTCATAACTTGATTCCTTTAATTTTTTTGTTCGGGTTTGACATGCATGCAAATAAATCGCTTACGGAGCTTTGGTGCTCTTAAATGATTTGTAAGTTTATCCTTCAGTTTGAATGTCTCTTGAACTACAGACTAATATTTACATATATGTAAGCTTTGTATAACGAAACATAAATAGAATGATGCCACGAATCTAATCTTACATTCAGAACTGATTCCAAGATCATTAAAAGAAATCAAATTTTTCTGCAGGTTTATTACTTCTATCAGATAAAACACCACGCTGAAACCTACAAATATAACCCTTTAGCTTTATCAATATATACTATCATTATTGTAAGATCTGTAACAAAATTTTAATCATAAAAAGCAAATTTGTAGTTTGCAAATGATCATGCTGAAGTATATATATACCTTCATGAATAATTCCGACAATTATTTTCGTTCTGTTTCCAATTCGTCTTTAATCTGTTGTGGTCAGGGATAAACTTTCTTTAACAGTCGCTGGTTTCAGAATAGGTCCATTAACATAAGCGTGAAGTTAGTAGTATGTTTGGTTGATGCTAGGGACACGATGCCTCTTTATGTATATCAATCTACACGGTTTCAGGGATTTTATGTCAAACTATAATGGCCAGTAGGTTGAATACAAGATATCGTAGATTTAAGGAAAGTGGTCACATATCATTACTCAAAGTACTTTATTAGAACTATTTTCGCACTCTTACTTTCTTAGGTTCAACGAAAAGAGTTAACTCTTTAATAATTTGGATACCTTCAAGATATGCGCTAACTAATACTATCAAATACACCGTATTCAGCAACTTAATTATAGAAAAGTAAAGCAAATATTAAGAAATTACATACAAGAAGAAAATTTAACAAACATTTTTGTAACATATTCCATTACCAATGTCTTGAAAAATCCAACCATTTCTGAAACCAACTTTATGAAGTTCGTCATATTTTCTTTTTTGTATCAAAGTTGATCTGCCTGTATTTTCATTTCTTGATCATAACAAAGAATGATCAGTAAGGACAAGAAAAGTTACTTTTTTAAAGATAAAAATTACCTAACAATTGCCACTGCATTTAGTGTCAAGTTTTTGGTCAAAGATTGCATTCCAAATATGGCAGTTATACCAATTTCAAGATCTTTTTTTGATGTTATCAATTTCTTGGAAACTGTAAAGTTTTCAATGTCATCAATGTACAAATCATAGAACAAAAATTAGAAAAAAAACTTATTTACCGAACATCGTTTATATTTTTGAAGTTATCATCTATTTCTCTCGCCCTGTAAAGTTTTCAATATCATCAATGTAACAAAACCATAGAACAAAATTAGAAAAAAAACTTGAAACATAAAAATCCTTATTGACCAGTTTTTATTATAATTTCTCATAATAATAATTGTCCGATTTCAGATTTAGTTGTTGGCTAAAGAAAGAAAAAATAAATAAATAAAACTAAAGAGATCCTGCAATTGTAAAAAGCTAAACTTTATAGAACGCAGCTTTTGGTTTAAAAATAGCATAGAAGTATAATAAAAAGATCAATTTTATTATTATTGACGAAGTGAACATAACTAGAACCCAAATCTGATGATATAATAGATACTTGCTGTAGCTAGCATTCTATTTTATTATTATTCGATCATCAAATTTGGCATCGATTTTCATTATCATCCACTTCGTAGACAACGACATATACTTACAAGGAGTAAAGCATATATAATCTATATCATGATTGTTACCAAAAGTTGTATGTAGAATTTCATTCTGATTTGTCTACAATAAAAGAGAATAAATATATACAAAATAAAATATTTATTACTTTTCCAACGAATTTAGAAGTTCTTCTCAGTTTTTGGAAAAAACTTTCTAAGAAACCATTTCTCAAATTGGTGCCATTTTTTCACGATAATTAATTCACTCCCAATGGCCAGAATATATGTATGAGTGAATTGGACTAAAAATAAAAACTGTTAGCATAATTCTTCTTATACGAACATAATTTCATATATGAATACTAACTGTTCGTATTCTAATATTTTTCTTAATTTATATAAACTCTTCTTCTACATATTGCTTATCCATTAATTATACACGGCATCAATTTCTTTTTCTATTTGTCTCGTTTAATCTGAATGTTCTTTCTAAATTATAAGAATATAAATGATTTAATAGAGTTCACAAAAAAACAAAAGATCAAAAAAATATGATGATATTTACCTTATTTTCTACTTCATCATTGACCGACCTCTTTACTTTCTTTCGATTACTTATCGTACCTTCACAACATAAATGTTATTAAATATTTGCATTAACAGTATCCGTCCCAGATATTACTTACCATAAATATTCCATGATTTGATGTATCCAATCATCATCAAAGCTGTAAACTTATTTATTTTTAATTCATTAACGATGGCTCAGCGTATCCATAATAGAATATTTTACTTAACGTCAACAGTGATCATAGTGTATTTTGATGTATGAAAAAAAGGTGGTAGTGAATGTGTTGATTGTTTGAAAATTTCTTTATATTATCATCTAACTTCATCATTTTTTTATACTCTTCATTAGATTCCTACAATAAAGGGTATTATAGTATAAAGAAATCAATTAGTTTATTCATAAAATATTTCTATATACTTCTTATAGTGCTATGAAAGCCTTTTCATACTAGGGTAGCATTAAGAGATGATATAAGGTGGCGCACTTTTGCTTACTAAGTGTTATTTGTTTATTTTCGCTCAGTTCAACTTTATCTTGATTCGATGACACGTTTTTTGTATTGTACATACATCGCGACTGTTCATTATCAAATTGAGCATATATAATTAGAAACATAATAAAAATACAATTAGATTCAAAATAAAAATAAATAAATTTACTGTAAATTTGTAAGCCGTATAATTTTAATAAGCTGAAACTGGGGCTAGTTCCACTGTGAAGACAAGTTATTCTGATCAACATTATTTTTAATATTTTTCCAATCTTTATTTTGTCGGTAAAAGTGTGTTTTCATTGATTGAGAGGTTCGCTAGCTTCAGAAATGGAGAATTCGAGTTTTAATATTTCGTTACTCATATCATGTCCACTTTTCATTCAATGCTTCAGTCTTCCGCATCATTCATTCTTAAATCAGGATACGAACAGGCATACATCATCACTTAAAAAAAAAATAACAATTTCTATTTTTTTGATTATTAACAGTAGATAAGCAATTAAAAATAATGTTATCTATTATTTACAATAAGATATTCATGTCCTCTTTTGAAATAAACTCCGAATTATAGGTGTTAAAAATATTTCTCGATACATCCTTTCTGTTGGATTCAAATGAAGGTCGTTTACTTGGTCGAAGAAATTAGTTCTATAAAAGGAGAGTGAAAGTCAATATTCATGTAAGTTCAAAAATTTTTTTATAGCTCTCAAATAAATACTTTGATTGGTATAATAATTCCCGAAAGAATTCTCTATTTTAATTACATCTTGTTATTAAAAAATTTTTATTGATAGCTGCTCGAAAATCAGATGACTTAAACTTTAATGAAAGCGAAGTTATGATGATACGTACCATACTCAAATTTATCCTTATTTTACAGCTGTGTCTTAATTTCAATTTTTTTAATTCAACCTTTTTTCAGAAAAGTTATACATCATCACTTAGAACTTGATTATGAAAAATATAAACAAATTAGTTATTATTCATACGAAACCGGATATAATAAGACAGATAACTGGATACCATGAATGAAAAATGATATTTCTTAGCAAGGAGAGACAATATTTCCTTGTCTTCAAACAGATTTAGAAACAGTTCACTTGACGTTGACATTCCAAGAAACGTATAAACGATACATAAACCGCTCAGGTGGTTGCACTGAGACGATACTCTGACCCTTTCCTATCTTCTCACTGCCTTTATATTAAAAGAAATAAACACGTCCCTTAAATGTTGAATTTCAAATGAATAATAGCGCTCTTCTGTTTATAGTAGAGATTTTGGACACAAATAAGGAATTGGTTTATGCCCTATCTGTTTAAATTCAGAGATCAAATTTCTCAGGGTACAATGAGTTTTCCCAATCGTCAAATAATAAGTGAGTATTTAACATGATATTGTTGTTTGCTGTGACCTATATTGAACGCGAACAAAATCAGGTACGTGCCTATTTATTTTCGCGATTCCGAGTAACACAAGAAAATAGCCAATCAATGAGTTCAAATCTGATCTGATCAGTCGAACATTCGTATGACTTTCATATGATTAGCTAATTTAAGTCGATCAAAATGTGATCGTTAACCAATGAAGTCAATCAAAACATTCAATACGCGACCAAATTATTTAATGTCATAGTTGAAGCTTAAGCTGTAAGTTAGGGTCCTCGATTTAAAATTAAAAAAATGAATACCAAAACAATTTGAAATTCAATACGGCAATATTAACAATGTGTTATATTAGTCACGATATATCCACATAGCGATTAATAACATCCAAATTTATTACAGTTTGCTTTCTGATCTTTTTTTATATCATGGCGTAATCAGAAATTGTTTATAATTCAATAACAATTGCGTTCATTTGATAGAATTAAATTTCTTCTGGCGCCTTGATACGTAGTAAAAAGTATCATTTATTAAAACGAACATTTTTAAGTAACTTAAATCACAAGAGTCAAATTTATTTAACAGGAAACAGATAGAACTCAAGTTTTCATTAAACCCGAAGACTTGCATAACTTTTCTGAATTTTGAAAATATTGTAAAGCTACAATATAAAGGAATAATGTTATCAGTATTATTGATGTTTGAAATGAAAAAAAATCTTGATGAGAAACTAACTTACAGTACCATCTCATATTACACTAATCCTAATCGTGATGATTTTTTGTATATTGGCTCGTCAGGTGCCAGCAAACTTTGGTCTATTTGAAAAACTTGGCACAATAAAAACAACACCTGTTGATTTTCAAGTCTCAACTGCAATGATGGAGTTGGCAATAGGCAATAAAGTATATGTTAATTTTCAATTGTAATTGTGTTTATCCGTAGATATATGTATAACTGCTGATGTTTTAAATTATTAACTCCCTGATGAAGGCACGAATTATAGACTAGCTTTATGTGATTTTTATCATTAAAAATTGATCAATAAAATGTTTTTATTACTATGTGACCTGCATTATGTTTGTAAATCCAATAATATATATGAATACAAATGAACAAGTTACAGTAATTCGTACAATAAGTATACAATATTGGGCAGACGATAAAAAAATAACAGGAAATTTTTTTCAGCGGATTTAATGTCATCCCATGTGCTGCTACGCAGCACATGAGTGACATTAAACTCCGATAAAAAAAAATTCCTGTTATTTGAGTAGGCGTTATCCGGCAGTAATATATGACCATGTGATGTTTTTTCCTGTGATATTTTTGCATAAATGATTACGTAATATCATGCAAAAAATATCAAGGCAAAAAAAATTCACATGATCATATAAATGCCGGATAATTAACCTTAATGAAACCCGATTATTGTCTAAAGAAAAATTGATTTGAATACATTTTTTAAGAGATGTCTTTTTGTCTCTTAAAATTTTTGATACATAAGCTTCATCTAAAATAAAACATTTTGATTTGTTTATTCTTGAGAAAAATATTACTAAAAATCTGATCTAATTGAGTATTATCCAATTTAACAAAATGAGTGTATAAGTAAAATAAGTAAAGCGAAATATCAATAGCTTTAAGATTGTCGTGTGATTCATTCGCAAAAATTTTTAATGCTTTATTCGGATTAATTGTTTTGAATAAATTTATTTTGAGGCTCTCCAATTTGTTACAGAATTGGTAAATTAAAAGGTGTTGCTCTATCGTATAAAGAGGAATATTTAGACATTTGAGATTAATGGTGCATTGAGTAATTGCTTGAATGAGTTGAGATATATCGAGAACTTCCCCAGTACTCCAATAAAAGTCAATAATTTCAAGGGTATTGCAGCTCGTTCTAACAAGACCAGATAATAATTTTAAAGGAGTTGAATAATCATAGTCCTTAAAGCCACCAAATCTGTAAGTTAAAGATGCCAGTATAGTTGTTAGGCGAAACCATTTTGGAAAATGACGAAAGACGAAACCTAAACCCGGCGAAAGACGAAAGACGAACCTCCCCGGCGAAACTGACGAAACCCGGCGAAACTGACGAAACTGACGAAACCTGGCGAAACTAGCGAAACCTGGCGAAA